ACCCCCGGGTAATGAGTTTCAAGCGATTCCGATCAATTTTTAGAAATTTCATCCGCCATATTGGATCCGCCATTTTGAATTTTGGAAAACTAACATCGGATTCGTAATCAGCGACCCCGAAATCCCCCGAGTAACGAGTTTCAATCCATTACAATGTCAGAAGCATCAAAATCAACTTGGTAAACTTCAAAGTCGTTTTTCTCGAAATCTTTTTTTCTTAGCGTAGGTCCCTTTTAACTTTACGTGTCACATATTAAGTTTATTGGGCATGTGCTGCGAGTCGTACGATTTGAAATCGGTGCGATTTGCAAACTATTTTTGATTATTTTTGGGGAAAGTAATAAATATTTCAAATGAAAACGGCGAGAAACACATAACTTACGTTATATCTATCCATTCAGTACCAAATTTTGCCGTTTTGTTAATCTATCTCCGAAGAAGGTTTTTCAGATCGCATCGATCTCAAATCGTACGAATTGCAGCACATTCCTATATGTTTACAATAAAATGAATGTTCTTCATTAAAATATTATGCACTGTTATTAGTTTAACTTAACTGTATAAACTTTAATAATAAATAAATATTTTAAAAGGTTCAAATAGTAGAATATATACAATGAATATAAGAAGAGTGAAACGAGTTAACGCAGTTAAGATTGAAGTTAAGCTAGCGGTGCCCGCGTATTATAGCGATAGTTTCAAAGTAGCCCCTTGTCCAAGTTCTGTTGGACACCACTGACTTATACTATGCAATTTGTCAAATACATAGGTACTTATCCCCGTAAACTATTTGGTATGTAAGGCCTAGTAGTCCCATTGCTTTCTTCACAATAAATGTTAAAATTCAAAAAGCGTATTTTAATTTCTACTATCTTATCTTTCATTTGTCCAAAATACAATTTTTTGAAATTAAGTTCTTGTTCTTCGCTTCAATCTCTGGAATTCTCGAAAGTGTATCTGCAACTATATTATTCTTGCCGGAAATATGTTGAATATTATTAGTGAACCGCGAAATATTTTCCAGATGCCTAATTTGTCTAGGACTTCTTTCAGTTTGTGAAATTAAAACATAAGTTAAGGGCATATGATCAGTGTACACAGTAAAATTTCTACCTCCCAAGAAATGCCTAAAATGTTTTATTGTCTCATCAATCGCTAAAAGTTCCCGATCAAATGTACTATACTTTGATTCAGCGGGAGTTAACTTCTTTAAATAAAATGCTAAAGGTTCTAAATTATACTAGAATTACAAAATTATTATTTTTTAAATAGAATTATAATTTATTTAGATAAACATGTCTTAACAATTTGAACGTTGAATCAATAATAATTTTCAGCAATGAAATTTTTCTGAATGTAAAATCGTCAACAGAAACAAAAACTATTTCTTAACAAGTATCAAAGAATTAAAGTGTGTGTACATATATATATATTTGTATCAACTTATGACACTACAATATTTACCTCCTCGACGAGTTCCGCCTTTGTCTGTGTTTGCAGGAGGTTAGAGGTATGCCCGCATTCCGAGCAGAATTACCTTAAGATATTTCCGTCCCCCTCCTTGCCAGATCTTCGGATAGGTAGTTGCTACGAATGTCCCAATGTCCAGGGACCCATGCAACAGTCAAGGAACATTTTTATGCCAGCAAGTTGAGAGTATTCCTGCATTCTATGGCTACTTTGGATGTTGTTCCGTTAGAATTGAGAGATTTGATAGCAGCTTGGCTGTCAGAATAGAAAGCAATAGGTCCTGGAGGGGCGGAGGTTATGAGCCACCGAGCCGCCTCCATTATGGCGTTAAATTCTGCTCGAAAAACGCTACATTGGTCCGGTAAGCGAAAACTGAGGTTTAGCGCGAGTTCGTCAGAGTAGATCCCGCTACCCACTTTCTTGTTATGCTTGGAACCATCTTTATATATGGCCGTAAACCCTGGGTTCAGGTCAAAGCAAATTACTATTACTTGATTTTTATTTTTTCCATCAAAAAGAATTATTATTTGATGATTTTTTTTCGCTCAAATATAATAATTTTTACTGAGTTTTATTTTTTCACTTAAGAATAATGATCGTTCAAAATACTCAAAAGCTATACCAGCGTGATTTCCGACATATTATTTTTAGAGTTTCAAAATTTTAAGTCCCAAAATTTTCAGGTCAAAATTTCAGTAGATTGCGTCTGTATGGCCTTTTCAATTTTATAATGAATCATTATTTTTAAGCGGAAATATAAAACTCAATAATAATTTTTATTTTCGAAGGAAAAATAAAAATCAAATACAAATTACATACTTCTGTTGAGCGAGAAAATAAAACTCAATAATAATTATTTTTAATATTTTTATTGAGCTTTGTACCACAATTGTTTATTAGGAAAAATTGAAAAAGCAACAAAGTCTAAGCGGTAGAAGTTATAGCACTATTTCGGAGATCACCACATCTCCTCATCAGACTTCTTTTT